GTTGGCCAGGCTGGTCTCGAACTCTTGACCTCATTATCTGCCTGCCTCGGCCTCCCAAAGTGCTGGGATTACAGGTGTGAGCCATTGCACCCAGCCCATTATTTCCTTTTAATTCTTTTTTTTTTTTTTTTTGAGACGGAGTCTCACTTTGTTGCCCAGGCTGAAGTGCAGTGGCACAGTCTTGGCTCGCTGCAACCACTGCCTCCCAGGTTCAAGTAATTCTCCTGCCTCAGCCTCCCAAGTAGCTGGGATTACAGGCGCATGACACCATGGCCAGCTAATTTTTGTGTTTTTAGTAGAAACGGCGTTTCACTCTATTGGCCAGCCTGGTCTCGAACTCCTGACCTCAGGTGACCCATCACCTTGGCCTCCCAAAGTGCTGGGATTACAGGCCTGAGCCGCCTCACCCGGCCCCTTTTTAATTAATTAAAATGTAAATAGCTGCACCAGTTAGGAGGCTGTGAAGATGGTCCAGGTGAGGTAGGATAGGGGCTTGAAGCTGGTGGCAAGGAAATGGGGAGTGCGTGGATCCTGGGATTATCGGGGTGCTGGCTTTTGATATTAATCACTCAGCCAGTACTGAAATAGTTGTTATGGAGGCCTGCGTTCGTTAGACCTGGCCTGCCACAAGTGACCAGAACCAGGAAATTGTAGAGACCCACTGAAAGAGGAGAAGGAAGGCTCAGGGCCTTAGAGGTCTCCTGGGGTTCTGGCCGGGGCAATGGGGTGCTTGTGTATCATCACTAAACAGGAACCATGATGAATCGGCTTGGAGGTGACAAGCATGGTTTTGGACACATGGAAACTGAGGTCTCAGGACATCCAGTGGAGGCATCTGGTAGGCTGTTCTGTTTGTGGCTCAGATGCTCAGGAGGGAACTGAAACTGGAGGCAGCCCTGTCAGTCATCAGAGGTCAGAAACTGGCGGCCCATAGGCCAGCTTCAGGTCACAGATGGCGGTTTAGACTGGCTCACACCGCTGACTTATTATGGAGCCTACCTTTTTTTTTTTTTCTTGAGACAGAGTCTCACTCTGCTGCCCAGGCTGGAGTGCGGTGGTGCAATCTCAGCTCACTGCAACCTCCGCCTCCCAGGTTAAAGTGACTCTCACAACTCTCAGCCTCCTGAGTAGCTGGGATTACAGGGATGCACCACCATGGCTGGCTAATTTTTGTATTTTTAGTAGAAACAGGGTTTCGCCATGTTGGCCAGGCTGATCTGGAACTCCTGACCTCAAGTGATCTGCCCCCCTCAGCCTTCCAAAGTGCTGGGATTATAAGCATGAGCCACCTCACCAGGCTGGAGCCTACATTTTTAGATTAGCAGAATTTATGTAAAAATCTGGATTTTCAGCTCCTCTTGAAAACTCAGAAGATCTGACAACATCGTGCCATCTACAGCTGCTCAGCAGCCCCTCCTCAGGCCAACACCCAGCCAGCAGACACCATTGGTGGGCACTATATTTGCCCACTCCAAGTATATGTGGCCAAAAGAGACCTGCCACACCTGTCATCCCAGGGCTTTGGGAGGCCAAGGCAGGAGGATGGCTTGAGGCCAGGAGCTTGAGACCATCATGGACAATATAGCAAGACCCCAGCCCTACAAAAAATGTTGTCACCAGGCATGCTGGTGTGTACTTCTAGTCCCAGCTGTTTGGGAGGCTGAGGCAGGAGGATCTCTGGAGTGCAGTCAGTCAAGGCTGGGATAAGCGATGGCTGCACTGCCGCACTGCGTGGGCAACATAGAAAAACCCCCTGTCTCTACAAACAAATTATTTTTTAAATAGCTGGGCATGGTGGCGTGCACCTGTAATCCCAAGTACTCAAGAGGCTGAGGTGGGAGGATCACCTGAGCCCAGGTCTCCAAGGTGGCAGTGAGCTATGATTGTGACACTGTGCTCCAGCCTGGGTCACAGAGACAGATCCTGTCTCTAAAACAATTTTTTAAAAATGTGAAAAAAGACACAACAACCCCCACACATGTAGTCACAGGCCCCTTTATGGTGTGATTTGCCACTCCTCTCAGCAAAAGGTGCAGTTGACTTGGCATGAAGTACAGCAAATAGAAAAACTTTAAAAAAAAAAAAAAAAAAAAGCAGCAGCAGCAGCAGCAGCAGCAGCAGGAGGTGAGAGGAGGCCAGGTGGCACGGCTCATGCTGTAATCCCAGCACTTTGAGAGACCAAGGCGAGTGGATCACTTGAGCCCAGAAGTTCAAGAACAACAGCGTGGGCAACATAGCGACACCCCATCTCTACAAAAAAAATTAAAATTAGGCGGGTATGGTGGTACATGGCTATAGTCCCAGCTACCCCAGAGGCTGAGGCAGGAGCGTCGCTTGAGCCCAGAAGGCAGAGGTAGCAGTGGGCCAAGATCACACCACTGCACTCCAGCCTGGGCAACAGAGTAAGATCCCATCTCAAAAAAGCAAGGCATGGTGGCTCATGCCTGTAATTTCAGCACTTTGGAAGGGCAAGGCAGGTAAATCATGAAGTCAGGAGATCGAGACCATCCTGGCTAACATGGTGAAACCCCATCTCTACTAAAAATACAAAAAATTAGCTGGGTGCGGTGGCGGGTGCCTGTAATCCCAGCTACTTGGGAGGATGAGGCAGGAGAATCACTTAAACCCGGGACGCAGAGGTTGCAATGAGCCAAGATTGTGCCACTGCACTCCAGCCTGGTGACAGAGTGACACTTGGTCTCAAAATAAAACAGGGGGCCAGGGTGTGCGGTCTATGTTCCCTCTCCTTGAATCTGGACAGGCCTTGTGACCTGCCTTGACCATGGCCATAGCAGAAGGACAACAACTAACTCCTTGAGACCCAGCACCATGTGAAAATGCTCAAGCTAGACTTCACAATGAGAGACCCAGAGGAGAAGCAGAAGCTCCACTAAATCCAGAGAACGCCTGCACTAATTGAAAACAGAGGATGTGAGGACAGCAAAGGGTGCTGCGGAGGTAAGGGCACAGCAGGAGGGAGGAGCGGCCAATGGTCAGCAGCAAGTGCCTTTGGAGGCCAAGCCATAGCTTGACCAACATCCCACGGGGTACAAAAGCGCAGGTTACTTGGATGTGCGCACAAGACTTTCCCTCCTTAACCCAACAAGAAAAAAAGCCTTGTGTTGGTCAGGTGCAGTGGCTCAGTTCTGTAATCCCAGAACTTTGGGAAGCCAAAGAAGGCAGATTACCTGAGGTCAGGAGGTCAAGACTAGCCTGGCAAACATGATGAAACCTTGTCTCTACTAAAAATACATACCAAAAAATTAGCTGGCTGTGATGGCGCAAGCCTGTAATCCCAGCTACTCAGGAGGCTGAAGCAGAAGAATCGCTTGAATCTTGGGAGGAGGCAGAGGTTGTAGTGAGCAGAGATTGCACCATTGCATTCCAGCCTGGGTGACAGAGCAAGACACCTTCTCAAATAATAATAATAATAATAGTAATACTAATAATAATAATTCAAAAAGCTTTGTGGGAATTGTTCAAGTTATATTTTTCTTTCTTTTTTTTTTTTTTTTTTTTTTACTTTTTGGAGATGGAGTCTTATTCTATAGCCCAGGTGCAATCTTGGCTCACTGCAACCTCTGATTCCCTAGTTCAAGTAATTCTCATGCCTCAGCCTCCCGAGTAGCTGGATTACAGGTGCCTGCCACCACACTTAGCCAATTCTTATATTTTAGTACAGACAGGGTTTCGCCATACTGTTCAGGCTGGTCTCAAATTCCTGACCTCAGGTGATCCACCTGACTTGGTCTCCCATAGTGCTGGGATTACAGGCATGAACCACTGCAACTGGCCAGTTTTTTCCAAAAGCGTTGCTTTTGTTCAGTGATAATCTAGTTGAATAAAGAATCTGGCTGGGCACAATGGCCGACGCCTATAATCCCAGCACTTTGGGAGTCTGAGGCAGGCAGATCACCTGAAGTCAAGAGTTCGAGTGCAGCCTGATCAACATGGTGAAACCCCATGTCTACAAAAAAAATAAAAATAAAGAACCTGTCCATTTCCATTATGTTAGTCCAGCAACAGAGGCAACATGACAATCCCCAACCATAACCACAGAAGCCAGCAGTACAACTCAGAAGCTAAAGTTCCCAATGTATAACATGGTAAAGACATACTAAGAGAAGCTCGATTAATTTAGTAAAACATCACCAGTCTCTTGGCCAATACAGCCAACTTCCCAGCAGAGACGCAAGTCAGGCCTTTAGGCTCCCTGGGCTTGGCCCTGAATCCCCGTTCCTCAGCCAATGGCCCAGGCTACTGACCCCAGTCTCTGGGTCAGTTCATTTTAGACAATAAGGTTGCTGGGCTGCCGCAGAGATCAGCGAACAAAATAGCCTGCCTGCAAGGAACAGGCCTTCCTGTGACAACCATGCTAAAGGAAAGCCAGCCAAGTTGCCAGAACTGCAGAGTACCACAAAGTTCGGGTAAAATAGTTGTAGCAAAAATGAAATTCTGGGACAATATTTCCATCCTGTATGAAATTATCAAACATACTTGGTCTTCACTCCCTGTAGAGGTTTGTCTCATATAAGTTGTGGTTCCAAAATGTGTGTTTTCTAAATCACTCTTTTGGGGAAAAACAAGTAAATTTAAATTTAGTAATATGGCATTACAATCCTTAGAAATAAAGTTAATTTTTTTTTTTTTTTTTTGAGATGGAGTCTCACTCTGTTGCCCAGGCTGGAGTGCAATGGCATGATCTTGGCTCACTGCAACCTCTGCCTCCTGGGTTCAAGCAATTCTCCTGCCTCAGCCTCCTGAGTAGCTGGGATTACAGGCACTTGCCACCATGCCCAGCTAGTTTTTGTGTTTTTAATAGAGACGGGGTTTCACCATGTTGGTCAGGCTGGTCTCAAACTCCTGACCTCAGGCAATCCACTTCCCTCAGCCTCCCAAAGTGCTGGGATTACAAGTGTGAGCCACCGTACCTGGCCATAAAATTAATTTTATACTGTTGCCCTGAAAAAGCAAAGGAAATGCATCTGAAGTGGCATGATTTTATTTTTTTTTTCCTAAAATTTTTCTACTCTTCCAAAGGAAAGGTTTTAGAATGTTTCCCAAAGTATGTCTGTTGGAATGGCGGTCCCATGAGATGCTCCTTTAAAAAAAGAAGGAGGAAAAAGAATTATTTGGCCAAATCTGCTGTGAAATCCTCTATCTCTCTTTTAGATTCATCATAATATTGGCATAGTAATGCTTCTTTAAAGAACTGCAATACAGTAAAGAAGCCTGTTTATCTTTGCCTAACACAAAATCCCAAAGTTTATTAACCATGCTTTTTTCAAGTAACATCCATGAAAGTCCCTTGGGGCTGGGGGACCTTGGAACCCACTGAAAGAAACGCTGGGACTTAACTCCCCGCTTTCTGACAAATGGTTTTGAAATATTCGTGATTTCTCTCCAATGACAAACGATGAAATATTGTTTCTACTTTTAATTCGTTGGCCCTGCAATTCTTGTAACATTTGGTTTGTGGCAAAGACATTGGAAACAAAAAGATACATTCGAAACTCACCAGCCACCTGTGAGTTTGAAGTGGCTGAGTCTGGCCCCCATGTTTTCATAGCCTCTGGAACGCCCTCTGGGATACAAGAGCATGCTGTTTAAATTTTCAATCAATCCCGGACCATGTCCCTCTCCACCCCGCCTGCACACTGGGAAAAATGCAAATCCATGAAGAGTGATAATTAAAGAACTGACAGCCTTGAAAACATTTTGGGGTTATTCGATTTCCTCACCAAACTTCATTATTGCTAAATCCAAAAGATGAGCATGACAATAAGTTTACCAGCTGTCCTCCTTAGACTTTGCCGTTAACACTTTTCTAAATCTTCTGTTCATGCCCACAGCATGTCATATGAGCAACTCCAATGTGCCTCTGTGAGATTCTAGGACACTTCTGGGAGTTAACCCATTTTTGCTTAAGAAAGTTAAGGAGCTATGATACGTTTACAGTCCCCCCCCATTCTGTGATCAATGGAGAAATTTAAGGGCAGTGCCATTTGTTCAATAACATATTTCTATGTTCAGTGCAAAACCGCAGAAATCCCATCCTAATGGACCAGGCATTCAAGCAGATGACTCCAGCAGGGAAGTTCCCAGCTAATATAGTGGCTCTTATCACGCAAACCAGTCCAAGAAGGAGGTACATCCACCTTGAGCCAGACTGTTTTGCAAGGAATGGGTTCAAAGTCACAAAAAGAGGAGAGTTCACATAGACTGTGGACTTCAACAAAGAGTAGCTCTCATAGGGATAAAGGGGTTTGGGTTGCTCAGGAAGAGAGAGATTCCAGCAGAGAAAAATGGAGCTGGAGTTGAAGCCCCCAGGATCTCCTCCTGTGGAAAGAGCAGAAGCTCTGGCTGAGGACAGCTACCTGAGTGCCACCAGAAACCTGAAACCCGGATGGGAATGAATAGGGGACCATGCAGCAAAAACGTCAGAGAGCTATACATGGTGGAAAGGAGGTAGCCAGATGTGGGAGTGCACGCCGATAGTCCCAGCCACTGGGGAGGCTGAGATGGGAGGATCACTTGAGCCTGGGAGTCTGAGACTAGAGTGAGCCATGATTGCACCACTGCACTCCAGCCTGGTGACAGAGTGAGATCCTGTTTTCATAAGAAAAACAAAACACAAATAAAAACAAGAAAGGAGAGAGTTAACTAAGCTCCATGTCTTTTGTGGGTTTGGAAACCTCACTTGATCCTTCACTAAAATACATCTTGGGCATCCAGTGAGTTTCAGTGTGAATTGGGAGGATGGTGAGGATGGCAGCCAAGCATGGGGACTGTATTGACAAAGAAGCTGCCCCTCTCACTGGCCATCTGTGGATTTCCAGCCAGCAAGACTGCCCCACTCTCTGGCCCGAGAGCTTAGAGACTGGCTGTCTGGTCTTTCCTCTCTCCTAGAGCATGAAGAGGTCACCATCATTCCCGGTTGACACTCTGGTTTGGGTAGAGCACACTGTTCAGTGTCTTCCTGACAAAAATGTGCAAGACAAGTCCATTTTCTGGCTCTCCAAGGCAGAGCCCCTTCACGGGCAGCCTCTCTGTGTTCCCATCAGTGCTCCCTTGCTCACCCATTGCAGCGCCCTGGGCCTCCCCTAGGTTCCCTGACCACAGCAGGCATGCTCCTTCCTCTGGGTCTCAGCACTTGTTCCATGGCCTGAAGTGCTTCCTCCCACCCCCTCCCCACTCTATTGCTCACTCTCATTTAGGTCTTCTCTCAGATAATTCCTTCTTGGCCAGGCATGGTGAATCTCGCCTATAATCCCATCACTGCAGGAGGCGGAGGCGAGTGGGTCACTTGAGGTCAGGAGTTCGAGACTAGCCTGACCCAGCCTGACCAACATGGTGAAACTCCATCTCTACCAAAAATATAAAAAATGAGCCAGGTTGGCTAGGCATGGTGGCTCACACCTGTAATCCCAGCACTTTGGGAGGCCAAGGCGGGCAAATCACGAGGTCAAGAGATCGAGACCATCCTGGCCAATATGGTGAAACCCTGGCTCTACTAAAAATACAAAAATTAGCCAGGCATGGTGGCACGTGCCTGTAGTCCGAGATACTTGGGAAGCTGAGGCAGGCGAATCATTTGAACCCAGGAGACAGAGGTTGCAGTGAGCCAAGATCAAGCCAATGCACTCCAGCCTGGCAACAGAGTGAGACTGCATCTCAAAAAAAAAAAAAAAAAAAAAAATTAGCCAAGTTGGTGGTGCACACCTATCATCCCAGCTACTCAGGAGACTGAGGCAGAAGAATCGCTTGAACCTGGTATTGCGCCACTGCACTCCCGCCTGGCAACAGAATGAGACCCTGTTTTCATAAGGAAAAAATACTAATAAAAATAAAAACAAGAAAAGAGGGAGTTGGCTGAGCTGAGATGGAGGTTGTAGTGAGCCAAGAAATAAATACATAGATAAATAAATAACACCTTCCTGGTGACACCTTCCCTGATGATTCCATTTACAATTCCAGCCTTTCCCCTGCTCTCTCCACGTGCCCTCCCTACTTTGCTTTGCTCCATAGGTTGAACTGTGTCCCCCCAAAAAGAGACGTGCTACAGTTCTAACCCTGAGAGCTTCAGAATGTGACCTGATTTGGAAGTAGGATCATTGCAGGTGTCATTAGTTAGATTAAGACAAGGCCATACTGGACTGGAGCGGGCCCCCAAATCCAAAATAACTGGTGTCTTTATAAGAAATTTGGAGAAGGAGACCTGGGAAGCACACCACACTTGCTAGCCACCACCAGAAGCCAGGCGGAGGCAAGGACGGATTCTCCTGCAGGTATTTTTCATTTTAGTTTTTTTTATTTATTTATTTATTATTTATTTATTTAGAGCAGGTTTTCACTCTTGTTGCCCAGGCTGGAGTACAATGGCACAATCTTGGCTCAGCCCAATCTTGGCTCACTGCAACCTCTGCCTCCCGGGTTCAAGCGATTCTCCTGCCTCCTGAGTAGCTAGGATTACAGGCATGCGCCATCGCACCCAGCTAATTTTTTGTATTTAGTGGAGACGGGGTTTCACCAGGTTGGTGAGGCTGGTCTCGAACTCCTGACCTCAGGTGATCCACCCGCCTCGGCCTCCCAAAGTGCTGGGATTACAGGCATGAGCCACTGCACCCGACTCATTTTATTTTTTTGAAGATGGGGGGCAGTCTCACTCTGTTGCCCAGGCTGGAGTGCATGGCACAATCACGGCTCGCTGCAGCCTCAGCCTTCCAGGCTCAAGTGATTCTCTTGCCTCAGCCTCCAGAGTAGCTGGCACCCACCACCATGTCTTGCTAATTTTTAATGCTTTTCTAGAGATGGAGGAGGGGGTCTTACTATGTTGCCTTGAACTCCTGGACTTAAGCCATCCTCCTACCTCAACTTCCCAAAGTGCTGGAATTAGGGGTGTGAGCCACTGTGCCTGACCCCCCTATAGGTTTCAGAGGGAGCATGGCCCTGCCAGCACCTAACTTTCCTACTTCTGGCCTCCAGAATGATCAGAGAACACATTTCTGCTGTTTCAAGCCACCCAGCTTGTGGTATTTGTTAGGGCGGCCCCAGGAGCTAATATACCATCTGACAGGCTCTATTTCTTAAATTGTGTGGTTTATCATCCGTCTCATCTCACAAGAAAGCAGGCAGCACAGGGGCAGGGAATTCCACCGGTTTTGTTCCTTCAGTGCCTGGAGCAGTGCCTGGCATGCGGTCCCAGCTTTACAAGCAGTGGTAGCCGGATGAGTGAGCAGGTGAATGGGGTTGGAGCCTAGCACTCCTCCATGGCCACTGAAGCCTTGGTGCCTGGCAGAGGGGTGGGCACAGCATCCTCAAAGGCCCAGAAGATTGGAGATGGTGGAGCAGGTGAGGGACAGTAGCAAGAGATGCAGGAGCAGGGACCCAAAAGGGCAGCAGTTTGGGTGCCACAGGAAGATGCCATCCTTAGAGCAGTGGATGCCACGCTGAGGGAGCGTGAAACAGGGACCAGACAGCATGGCTGGACAGAACGCTCCTCTTCTAAAGACAACTCTGACGACAGTGTGGAGGATGGGTGGGCTGAGAAGCCCCAGAGGACACAGGGACCAGGTGCAAGGCGAGGTGGTGGCTGGGGACGTGGAATGAAGTTTTCCATCAGGCAGAAAGGACCATATTTGGTGACATGCTGGCTGCAGAGGGGAATCAGGGACAGCTGCTGGGGTGGAGAAAGCATCCTCTAAGTTGCAGAACCTGCCAGGGAGATGGCTCCCAAGAGAAGAACCTGGCTGTGGGCGTGCTCTGGCACCTTCCACCCCGACCACATTCCTTCCCACCCGCACTAGCCTCTTGGTTGCCCCTCAGACACACCAGGCTCACTCCCACCCCAGGAGCTTCCTGTCCCTCTGGCAGGAACACTGTGCCCCAGATCTTCCCTGGCTGGAGTCTCCTCGCAGGTCAGGTCTCAGCTCAAGTGTCATCTCCTTGGAGAAGCTTTCCCTGGCCACCTTCACCAAAGTCACCCACAGGTCTCCATCCTGTCACCCTGCCGCCTTTCCCTGCAGCACAGTCACTCTCTGCAGGTGCCTCATGCATTTGCTGACAAGCGCACCGAAGGGCCCTTCCCACCAGCAAGTCTGCAGGCTCCATGGGACAGCGACCCCCTGTCCCACATACAACATGTTCTCTAGTGCCTGGGACAGCAGCCACCCAATAAACCTCTGTAGAATGGGTGGGCAGATTAACGTGGCATTCAGGGGACCGGTTAGGCTGAGGCTGCTGATTTCAGAGCATGGGCAGAGACATGGTGATTTCCATCCAGGGGAAGCGGAGGGAGCCCAGGGGAAGGCCTGGGAAAGAGCCCGGAGGAACTTGGTGTTGGGAGAAGAGGAAACCCTGGTACAAGACAGGGGAGATGCCCCAAGGGCAGGCCTAGGAGCTGAGGGAGCCTGGATCCAACCCGGCAGCACTCCAGAGCCCAGGTGCCTAGACACTGAGGTGCACTTCATCTCGTTTGAGTGTCGTCAGGTGAGTGTGATCATGATCCCGTTTTCCTAAGGACGGAGAGGATTTCACTCACACGGTAAGCAGCAGACCCGGCAGGAGCCCCAGCAGTGTTCTGGAGCCACAGTCTCCTCCTCTCCTGTTGATGGCACTGAGCTTCTGTGGGAACTGCCAAGGAGCAGGAGGAGAGCTGTGAGAAGGGGTCAGCCACCGCAGAAGTGGCCGGGAGAGCAGCTTCTGGAGCAACCACCCAGGGCATCTGACGACCTGGCCATCAACTTAGGCGGGGTGGAGGCCAGGCTGAAGAGGATGGAGACATAAACAGGAGGCCAGGAAGTGGGGACAGCAAGCGTGGGTAACTCTTTGGAGAAGTTTGGCTATAGAGACAAGTGAGATATAGGATAGTAACCGGAGGCGGCAGTGGGTGCAAAAGAGCGCTATTTTAAGGCAGCAGAAACCGGAGTGTGCTTGGACGCGACAGCCAGCAGAGGAGCAACTGAAGAATCAAGTTAAGGAGGAAGCGGGGGCAGGGGGCTGGCTCAGCAGCGGGGTGGAGGGGCTGCAGGGGCGCGGGCCGGCCCTCCTCTGCCCGCTTCTTTTCCGTGGGAAGTAGGAGGAGGAGAGGCCACCTGAGCCAAGTTGGGAGGCAGCAGGTCAGGTTTGAAAGAGTGGGAAGGCTTGCAGCAATGCACCATGAGAGAGAGCCAGCTACGGTGAAGGCCAGGCAGTGTGACCCGATGACCGTTCTCATGCCATCAGTCTGCTCAGGGGTGTGATGTTCTTTGGGGGCAGCAGCAGCTTGGGTAAAAGTTCAAAGAACAGAGTTGTAGTCATCCAGGATTCAGGTTTCACCAGGATGGTTCTGTGGATGGAGTGAGGTTAGGACATGGCAAGACAGTGACTGATGTAATGCCCATGCAATCTACACTGGAAGTGGGGCAGCGGGGCAGGAAGGGGCTGAGGGTAATGGAGGAAGCAGAGGTAAAAGAGGTCGAGGGACCAGAGTGACAATGTCAGAGTGAGCAGGTTGAAAGGGTTGAAGGCATGGCCATAAAGCACAGCCTGTCAAGAAGGGAACTCAAGGGGCCTCAGGCCTGAGGTGGGGCAGGTAGACACCCAGAGGAGCCGTGGGTATGGTCGTGGGCGTGGGCGTGGGTGTGGGTGTGGGCATGTGGCTGCAGCCTTGGCCTCCTGGCAGGACTCGCAGAAGCCTTGCGGAAGTCAGATGAGACTGGGAAGGGCAGCCTGGCAGCTCTGGAGCAGGATGAGGATCCTTTTTGCACGTTTGTTTGGTTTTGTATTGTCTGATTTTGTCTATATGAGACAGGTGCCTGGGAAAGCATTCACACAGCATGAAGGAGTGTGTCCTAGCAAGTCTGTGCCTCTCCTTGCAGTGGACTGGCAGGCAACCGCGGCACCATCTTCTTCTGTATGGAGATTTGTTTGGAGGCTGAGGCATAGGGATGGGAGCGGTTCAGCTGAGCAGAAGTCTTCCCCACTTCTTTCCTCCAAGGCCCCAGGCTGGAGGTCCCCTCCCAGCACCCCAGAACTGCTCGGGGCATGGAGGCCCCTGGCCAATCCCTCAGTTTCCGAAATCCTCTCTTCCTCAGCTGCCAAGAGAGCCCACTCCTCGGCCTCCCTCCCGCCTCCCTGAGTGCTCCTCTCCTGCCCCTGCCTTTCAGTAGTCATCCACCAGGGCTGCAGCCGCTGTCTCCTGCCTCCTCGCCTCATTCTGATGCATCCCTGAAGCGTCACTTTCCACCTCCAGCAGCATCAGGGCTCAGAACTCTCTCTGCCGAAGCCCAGTCCTATACACTCATTGTCCATCTGACAGCTCCCCTCCAACTCAAGGTGCCACAGCTGAGCTCATTGGCTGCCCCTCTGCCCACGCCCCATCAGCAACAGACGTGGGTTAGCTCGTGGCCACCCAGCATCTGTTCACCCCAGGACTAACCAGGCCCAGCTTTGGTGAACAGACAGCTCCCTACTTCGGACACTGTGGTCTGTGGTGTTCCCTCCACCTCTACCCCAATCCAAGTACAGCATGTGACCAAAGTCTAGAACATTCCATATTCTCAGTGTAGGACTGTTTCAGGGTTAGCACAGAGTCAAACAGGCTCAATGGCAGCAAACTCCAGGTTTTTGGTCCAAGTGATGTGGGAGAAGACCTCCCTCTTTCCTGATAGGTTTGAACCTGAGAGGCCGTAAAGCCATTGTCTGCCTCACATGGAGGCCAGGAACGCACACCGTCAACACTCACATGCATTTTCTTGGCGTCTGGTGTGTGCCAAGCACCCTACATGTGTGGATCCCACTTTGTCCTAACAAAATGTGGCACAAGCCAGGCCCTATTTTTCCAACCCTAAAGAAGAGGGAATTGAGCCACAGAGAGGTTAAGGGCCTTGTCAGGCCACTCAGCTAATCACTACGGCACCAGAATTCAAATCCAGGCCATGTGATTCCCCAGTCCTCGCTCTCGACCACCAGGCTCTATGGCCAGAAGTCAGCGCAGGCAAGCAGATCTACAGGAGCGGGGAAACTGAGGCCTGCTCCCACCATGGAGCCCTGAATCATGCTGGGCCTGCGGCCAGAGCCACCCCTAGACTTTTCAGTTACATGGGCCAATACGTTCCCTTCTGCCTGAGCCAAATATAGTTTGGGTTTTCTATAAATTCAGACCAAAGAAGTCCTAACTGATAACACATCCTCTCAGTGGGTGGCACCGCCGCACACGCAGTATTCAGACCGGAAACCAGAGCATCATCCTCCCCTCCTCCCTCTCCCTCATCCCTCACATCCGATCAGTGACCAAAGCCAGTGTCCCATCTCTGGCCCTCTTCTTACCCCCAGTCCAGGCAACTATCATTTTTGCTGGGTTTTGACAACAGTCTCCTTGCCTCTTCTCTGCTTCCAGCCTGCTACCCCCACCATAAACTTACCCTCCAGTTCTTTAAGATCCAGATCTTACCATGTCACTTCCAGCTTGAAACCGTCCAGATACCTCACTGCTCCTGGGGTAAGCTCCAACTCCTGCCCAGGCTGCCCTACCCGCCGCCCTGGTCACGCCTCCCTTGCCCGCCCTGCCCCAGTCCACCTGCTTCCGAAGCTCGCTGCTTCACCCCTCCAAATCTCTGCCTGAAATGCTCTTGCCGCCTTCTTGCCAGGCGAATGCCCAGTGGTGATGCCACCTCCTCTGTGAGTTGCGCTTTGCTAGCCCCAGCAGAGCTCTCACTCTCTGCTCTCTGCTCTTTTGCTCTGGGCTCTTTTCATTGTCTATTTTAACTTCAGTTTTGTGAGCCCGCTCTTTACTAAACTGTGAGCTCTGCAGGGGCAGGGGCTCTGTCTCGTTTATCTCCTCATCCCCACGCCCCAGAGCATGCCTGGCACAGAGCGATCACTCAGTAAACACTCATGAAAAAGAATATGATGAAGTGTTTCCAGGAACAGAGGGCGGGTTCTATGCCTCTCTCCTGGTTCTATACTTCTGGTCAGTTCTATACTTCTCTCCTCTCTTCTTCTCCCTCTTCTCCTCCTCTCCTCCTCTTCTTCTCTTCTCCTCTCCTCTCCTCTCCTCTCCTCTCCTCTCCTCTCCTCTCCTCTCTTCTGGGGATGGTCAGGTTTAGGGAAAATAGCGATGCTACAGGATGATTACTGTGCAGAAAGACTTTTTTCAATGAACAAGCATGTTACCTATTTGGTCAATGACAAACCAGTGATATTGTCATCGCCATTTTACAAACAAAGAGAATGAGGTTTAGGAAGGTTTTGTAATCTAGAATTCCATGCACATGTTCACGAAATCCACTCTCAAAAGCCAGGGCTCAGGCTGGACTCTGATGAGACCCCAACAGTGAGTGGTTGAATGAAGTGGTGCTCTTGCCCACACTGGCCACACGGGGGCAGCCGGGTGCTGGCGAGAGAGTGGCTTTCTGCCCCCACCTCACACCCACCCTTGGAAGATGTGGATCTGAGGGTGCAAGGGGAAAGGCCACCACTAAGGAGAGGCCAGGGGACAGGGACTGAGGTTGCTATACATGCTAGAAGCAGGTCAAACTGGAGGGGAGCCGGGGAACAAACCACTAATTCCTAGAGTCAAGGGCTGGAGACATAGACGGTAGACCAGAAACTTGCATTACCAGCATATTTAATAAGGGGCCACAGAAAGTGATGCAGCATTCCTGGATGGCGGGGGTGCCGCAGGCCAGCAAATGGGAGGCACTGACTCGGAGCAGGAGCGGGTCACTGTCAGACCACTGCTGCCTCACACCAGACAGGACAGGTGTGCATTCATGTCCTCAGAGGCCAGAAGGCAGAGGGCACAGCCAGCACGTGCTGCACCAGGCATCCAGGACGTGTGGCCACTTCAGTGCCCAGGACATGCAGCAGGCCCCAAGCAGGCTGGGAGTGTGCAGGCCCACACCGAGGACTTCCTGCGGTCCAGCAGAGCAGTTCAGAGGCAGCGGCTGGGTGCAAGGATCCCAGGTTGAGGTCTCACCACGAGCCAGGTATCTCCCAGTCTGTCATCTGCACCAAGAATGGGCTGAGGGTGGCATGGGTTCCCCAGAGCGGCAGCAGGAGAGTGGGCTCTCTGGTCAGCAGATGACGCAGGGCTCAGGAATCTGTAGAGAGAGCCACCCCCATCTTTGCTGGAGAGGGAGCTGCACGATGTGGATGGCGAGGAAGGGACAGCAGAAACCCCTCACAGCCTTTCCCAGCTTAGGGACAATCTCAGGGGCTGGAGGGAGGTGAGGGCAAGATCTGAACCCATCAGCCGCCCCAGCCCTTCCCCCATGGACAGTGCAGGTTAAGGGAGCTGGCTGGGATTCCAAGTACCTGGCTTCTCTCCCTGGCACTCAGGCCTGCACCCATCTCCCACCTCTCACTACCAGCTGGAGCCTGAGACATGGGGTGACAGCAGCACCCACTTCCCAATTTTCCACATTCTTTCCTGCCCACTCAGCCTGACAGCCTTGACTGGGGTCAGAGTTCCATGACAAACATCTCAGTCTCTTCCCGAAGGAACACTGAGGTCTCTGGCACACCCCACACCCTCCTTTCCAAGTACTGGGCCCAGGAACAGCAACAGGAGGAAGTTGGATGAAGAAAGTCGTTGCCCCTGCCTCTATCCCCCGCCCTGGCCCTGTCCTGGGTGTGAGCAGACACGAAGATGCTGGGGGCAGAGCCCTTCCCAGCACCAAATCGCTCTATGCCCTCACACCACAGCAACTTGAGCCCAAAGGCCAAACCAAAGGTCATCAGCCTTCAGCCCTGATCCCCAGCTCTGACCGCTTGGATTTTTTTCCATGGATGTTTATTCCAGCTGACCCTCTGAGCCCATCCCCCCTCAGGCTCAGGCCAGGAAAGCTGAGCCCAGCTGGCTAGGAAGCTGTTGCTGGCATCTGGAAGACTGCTCCCTGTAGACAGAGGGTAGGGAGGGCCCTGGGGAAGCAAGGACAGGAAGGGGGCAGTGACACAGAGGTTTGGGGGTCCACCCCGATTCACAAATGTATGAAGAGAGGCCATATTTTGCACCAGCATCTCAAAGAGTGATAAGAAAGCAGGGGAGGACAGAACAAGAGGGGCCCCCAAGTGCCAGAATGGGCCGTGAACTTGGAATCAGGACCCAGAGTCTGCTTCCAGCTCTGTCATTCACATGAGCATGTCACTTACTGTTCTCTGAGCTTCCCTGTATGTAAAAGGGGTTCCCAGTGATCTGGGAGAAACTGGGTACAATCAAGAGAGGAAGTTCCCATCCTCTCCTCCAGAGAAAGGAGGCAGGAATGTCCCCCGGACCCTGCCCCCTGCCTGTGCCAGGTGCAGTAACACACACGTGGCACACACCCCTCAGGGCCCTGGACAGCCCTCCTTCTTAGGGGGCAGGGGTGGCGGCCCTGAGATGAGAAGTCCCTGGCTCAGCAAGGCCAGTGTGGCACCGCTGCCCAGGATTAACGCCAAATCCTGGGCTGCTGGGCAGAGATCACACGTCGTCGGCAGCTTCGCAGCTGCTTAGCTGCACCTGCCCGCATCCTCCCCCTGCCCCTCACAGGCACCCAGCCTGACTCCTTTCTTGGAGGGAAACCGGGACCCTGCCCTACCCCAGGCAAGCAGGGGAGGGGCTCCAGAATCAGGGGGCAAGAGAGGCCAAAGTCACCCCTGATAAACACTCCCACCCACAGAAACCCCCAGGGGCTCCTAGATGCAAAGCTGAACAGAGGGAAGGAACAGTGAAGGCCTCTCCAGCCTCTGTGGCTCTTCCCAGGTGGCCTTGGCCTGTAGTTACCTTGTCCTCGGGTCATCTAGGCCCTTCCCTCCAGATGGCTCCTGCCCTTGGAGAGACAGAGCGAGACACCCAGAGAGAGCCCGCACAGCTGGGAGTCCTCAGCCCCACTTCCTGGAGCAGTGCTTTTGAGGCCCCCCAGCTGCTGGGAACCCTGCCATCCACACCCCCCAACACCGCACAAAGCTCCTTGCTCTGGGCTACATCTGCTCCCCCACCCTACTGCTCCACGACATGAGCAGGGGCCAGGGAAGAGCCTTCCACACACCTCTCCATTCCCAGGGCCACCCAGGCCCCTGGCTCTGCCCTCAAACATGACCACACTCTCCTCCCTGTCACAAGAGGAAGTCCAGGCAAAGAACCTCCCTCAAGCCCCCTTCCAGGGAAAAGGCTTTTCAGGAAGCTGAGGCCAAAGGCTGAAGCTGTCTGCCTGTCTCCTCAGCCCCATGGAGTGCAGAATTGGGCCTTGGACCTATAGGGGCTGGGGCAGTTGCAGACCGTGGGGGTGAGGGCAGGGTCCAGGGAAGAAGCCCCCAAAGCACACTGCGGCCTCCGGACTCCCTCCTCTGTCATCCTCCTGCCTCCACAACCACCCTACAGTGGCACAGCAGCCTCTGTTCCTAGAAAAAGGGCATAAGGTGGGAAAACTTAAGACCGCAAGAGGGGGCCAGGACTGCAGGAGACACCATCTGGGGCGGGGCAGCCATCTCCTGATCCCGCACACCTGTGTGGCTGCAGCCCCACCCGCCGTGGACTTATGGAGCTGAGAACCGGAGTCGCTGATAGCAGGTGCCTTGCTGCGCCCCGATAAGCCCCTCAGTAAGGAAGCTACTGTAGCCCCCCGGGCCCCCCCGCGCCCGTACTCCTGAGCCTGCCCTCTCACCTGCGTGGGGGGCGCCGCTTCGGAAAAGGGGTCGGAACCGCAGCAGCCGTCCGCACAGAGTCCGGGGCAGCATGGGGACGGAAGACCTCCGAGCGCAGCCAGGCGCCTAGGAGTGGTCATCGTCATCGCTGTCCTCTCCGCGGGCACTGCCGGGCTCGGGCTCGCGGGACGCACGCTGCTCGCGGGCCAGCAGTGCTGTCAGGCCCTGGGCGCGGAGGAGGAGGCCGCCGCCCAGGAACAGGACCCCACAGAGCACCAGCAGGGACAGCACGCCCAGCACCACCGCCTGCACCGCGCGCGGCCCCTCGGGGGGCTCCGGCGGCGACCCCGACTGGTTGCAGCAGGAGCTCAGCCAGGCGGCCCCAGCCGCAGTGCCCACCTGAGAGCCGTTCATGCTCCAGCGCCGGCTGCCCAGATGTGGTGGGATCGCCAGATGTGCTGGAGCCCAGGCTGGCGGGCGGCAGACGGCTGCGTCAGGGAGGGAACTAAGGGGCGGACCCCAGGCGCCCTACGCCCCCACCGGCTGCGCAGAGTGCTTGTGCCCTTCCTAGACAAAGAGCTCCAGCCGCCGTGGGCTACCGCCCCTTCTCCACAGGCCTGACTCCGGGGCGGGGCCGCCTTATTTCTCCTCATCCCCAAGGCCCATAGGCACCCCCATGCGAGTCCAGCCAGCCAAAACCAGAAGCCCTGTCCCCAAGAGTCCTTCCCTTTCGCAAAGAGGGCCAAGAGGTCCACCTGGGCAGATCCCTGAGCAGATCCTCAGACCCCATCCCACGTGCAGGCTGGGGTGCTGCCCCTCTGAGCAGGACACAAGACAAAGGAGGCAAAGGTGACTGTCCCCTTTCTTGGGCTTTTTGTCCCTAGACCGAAGTTCTATGCTGCCAGGTGGCCCAGGTGACTGCTGAGCCAGGAGGCACACAGGCAGCCCTAAGGATAAGTGACTCCCACCCTTCCTTGTCCGTCATCCCTTCTGGAAGCCTCCTGGGGCTGGACAAGCAGGCCAGTGCCTCCCGCAGACTCCACAGCAGTGAGACATTCAGGCAGAGCAGAGCATGGGGATTTCAAGGTCCACCCCACACATTTTCTCAGGCCCCACAGGCCCGGTAGAGCCACATTTACAGACCAACAGGAGAGCACAGATTTGAGCCACCAGGACTCCAGTCCTGACCCTGGATAAATCAGTCCCTCACTGCAGGGAAATCACAATGCCAGAAGGGATGGAAATGTTGCTGTGCTGTGGACCAGGCAGCCCACTAGCAGCTAGGTGCCCCACGGCCAAGCCAGTGGGGGAGTGTGGCGCAGAGTCCAGCTGCAGAAAAGCACAGACTGGAAAAGCAGATAGGGAAGGAAGACCCTCCTGCCAGGTCTACCAAAAAATTCCATAGCAAGCCTTGAGTCCTCTTTTAAGAAATAAAGTCACTGCCAGCCAACACCTGTACTAGTCAACCCCTCAGAAGGGATTAGATTAGCTGATGGCTGGCTGGGAGGAAAACAGGAAGAGTCCCCAAACTGCACCATGCCAAGTGGGGGTCACATGCTATCAAGAACTTGCTACAAATAGGCCTTCTCCAACTATAAACCCCCCTCCTGAATCAACTCTCTGATGCCCCAGAGATCGAGTAGAACATCACAAAACTTGTTAGGAAACATCACGTGGCCAAGGGTGACTTGAAATGGGAAAAGCACATTCCAAATGCAAACACTTCCTGGCCATCCTGGCTACCTACCCTGCTCCATGACCATGGACAAGACCCCCCATTCCCACCCCATTTCTCCCATAGCATCCCTCCCTACACAGAATCAGTCTGGTTAGAGCTGGCCCAGAAGCAGCCCAAAAGCATTGTGAAACATGGACAGTATCGATGAGCACACGGCATACAACGGGGGCTGGAGTATGCGGGTGTGGAAATAAATGTGAGTTCCTGAGGCAATGGCAAGACCCAGTCCAAGCTAGGAGTGTCGCCAGATGCCAGATAGTCTCAAGCTGGCCCATCTGTCTCCAGACACCCCCCACATCAAATGACCTTTCTGGTGCACGTGGGGATCTGTGTTCGCTGTGAAGGCAGAGAAGGCATTCTCTGGGATCATGATGAAGCAAGACCAGGTAACATAAAGGCCGCGGATGCCACAGCTTCCCTAGAAAGGGAGGAGATAACATGGGAACAGAAAACCAAATACCACGTTCTCACATCTACGTGGGAGCTACATGGTGAGACACATGGACACACAGAGGGGAACAATGCACACTGGGGCCTTTTGGAGGGTGGGAAGAGGGAGAGGATCACAAAAATAACTAATGGGTACTAGGCTCAATACCTGGGTGATGAAATAATCTGCAAAATGAAAGTTTAGAAAAAAAAGGAAAGTGAGTTTGGAAGTGTTGAACTAGGGAGTAGACTGGTGGAGAAAAAGGAAGGAGAAGTAGCGTAGTCACATCCAAAAGCAACAGACCCTCACCCTCCAATGTACCTTCATTCATGGGATTGGTTACGGCCACATCTGGGTAACACCTGCTTTGCGTGAATACCCAGACAGTTTTTAATATACCTTTAATCCCATCCACCCACTTCATCTTGGAACAATGCTCCCAACACACACCTGTGTCCTCAGGAATGCCAGAAAGTGTTAACACGTCGGGGCAGACACAAGCCAAGGAGAGATGGCTCCACCCAAACTCACATTCTCAATTTTATTCCCCATCCTAGCGGTAGCTCTTCTGTACAGTAGAGAAGGAAGGGGCCCCACCAAGGGTATGGACAGTACAGGCAGGACTGAACCATCTGCAAAGGTGAAAAGGATGACCAGAGGCTGGCAACCACAAAGCGAAACCAGCGGCTGCCCCTTCCAAGTCTCACCCATGACCCAGAGCAGGTTCCAAGGCCCACAGGCCTAACAGTACAATCCCCCAAAGCCAAGGTCTGGGAGCCATGGAGGAGCTCCCGGGGACCGGGCGGGCTCAGAGGGCAAGGGTGTCTTTGATGAGCCTGCGCATGGTGGTGGTGACGGACGTGCCCAGGGCATCGGTGATCTGGAAGGAGATCTTGTAGAGGTAGGGCTGCACGTCCCGCAAGCCTGTGTCAAACACGTTATCCACCTCCGACTGTGTGGGCATCTTGGGCAGGTACTCATGCCGATTCATCACCTCCACAATGTTGATGACCTTCTCACAGAGTTTCTCGCCCACCTTCTCCCGGCAGATCTGCCGCTCCTGCTCTGTGGCCAGGGCTACCACGTGCACCTTGACCGTCCACACTTCCCATGGGATGCACTCATCTGAGAAAGGCCAGCGAGACTTCTTCTTCTGGTAGAACTCCAAGGACATCTGCCCCAGCCCATCGCCACCAGAGTTGCGCAGCGCATCCTAGGGAAGAAGGGAATGAATGAGCGAGCTGAGGCCTCTGAGCTCCCGCCTGTGAGGGCTGCTTCCCACACCCCAGGGAATTATCCTCTCTTAGCTACAGTAATCATGCAGGGATGGCAAGGAAACAAGACTGGGAGAGGGTAAAGGATTTGGGTGAAGTGACACAGCAAGCTGCCAGCCTGAAATGGTGTAGTGCAAGCAAACCAACATAATCTGTCTCCAAACTCAACTCCTCCAGCCTGGTGAAGAACTGATTATTATAGGAATAACTGGTGTGCCGGCACGTATTCTGAGCCAGGAACTTTACACACACAACCCCACTGGCTCCTCTCCACAAACCCCGTGAACTCTCACTCAGGCACCACGAGGCTTAGAGGAGTAAGGTAACTTGCCTATGAATGGCTGGACTGGGATTTGAATCTGGATTGTCTCATTTCAAAATCCTTGCTTTTCACCTTTACATTAAAGGCGTTCTCCTTCCACACCACCACCCCTTTAGCCCATATCCTTCAAAATGTTCTCTCAAATCACCTCGTCAACATCTTCCTCTTCGCTGTAACCTGTATCTGTCTGCACTGCCAATTAAACATAATCCTTTTGGTATTTTTTTTAGAGACTGGGCCTTACTCTACCACCCACGCTGGAGTGCAGTGGAGCAATCATGGCTCACTGCAGCCTCGGACTCCTGGGCTCCCACCTCAGCCTCCTGAGTAGCTGATACTATAAGCACACTTGGCTAATTTTTAATTTTAAATTTTTTTTATTTTGTTAGAGTCAGGGTATTGTTATGTTATCCAGACTATTCTGGAACTCCTGGCCTCAAGCAATCCTCCTGCTTCAGCTTCCCAAAGTGCTGGGATTACAATTGCAAGCCACTGCACCCAGTCCACAGTCTCTTTTATGAAAGCAGGAAGAGGGAACTGTAGAGCCCAGGGAGCCTTGCTCAAAAAGAAGGAAACCAATGGGGAAGGGAAGTACCAGACAGACCATACCTAGCGCCTCTCCCTCCTCTCCCCTGAGAAGCAAACATGACCATCCAGTCCAGTGATTCTGCCCATGCCACCCCATGGGTGTGGGTAGCCCCATACTCCTCTTCCGAGGGCACCCATGACCCAGAAGCTCCTTTTCACCTGAGTTAATGCCAACCCAGAGGGTAAGGATGCCTTAAATCCTGAACCACTTATCAGGGAAGAGGCTCTCCTTCACTGACAAACCAAGGTCATGTAACCTTGAATGGCTAACACACCTGTAACGCTTACTGTGTAACAGGCTCTGTTCCAAACATTGGACATATTTGACTTATTTAGTCCTTGCAGTGCACCCGCCCTTTGAGGTCAATAGGATTATTATTCCAATTTTGAGTGGAGCCACTAGCCCAAGGTCACACACCTGCTGGGTGGTAGAGCCGGGCTCCAAAGCCCATGCTCTTAACCTCTGCTCCACCTTCCTCTCACGGGCACCTGGAGGACAGAGGGCTGAATGCTACTGCTTCTCTTGAGGGTGACTAGGAAACCGCTTACAGACCTGCCCTTTCTGGGTTTGGAGGGCCAATGGGGGATAGCTTTTACCTGACACTGAGCAACCCCCTGCAATGAGCACACAGTGCCCAGCACAGTGGAGGGCTCTGCAAACATTTATGGAATGTCAGACACACCGCTCCCCTGTGTTCTAACAGAGCAGGTGCCTTTAAAAGAAAAATTACAGGCATGGGCACACTGGCTCATGCCAGTAATTCAAGACCAGCCTGGTTCAAGACCAGTCTGGGCAACACATTAACACCTGTTCTCTACAAAAAAATTCTTTTTTTCAGGCTGGGCACGGTGGCTCAAGCCTGTAATCCCAGCACTTTGGGAGGCCGAGGCGGGTGGATCACGAGGTCAAGAGAGCGAGACCATCCTGGTCAACATGGTGAAACCCGGTCTCTACTAAAAATACAAAAACATTAGCTGGGCATGGTGGTGCATGCCTGTAATCCCAGCTACTGAGGAGGTTGAGGCAGGAGAATTGCCTGAACCCAGGAGGCGGAGGTTGCGGTGAGCCGAGATCGCGCCATTGCACTCCAGCCTGGGTAACAAGAGTGAAACTCCGTCTCAAAAAAAAAAAAAAAAAAAAAAAAAAAAAAAATTCTTTTTTTCTTTTTGACAGGGTCTTGCTCTGTCGCCCATGCTGGAGTACAGTGGCATGATCATGGCTCACTACAGCCTTGAACTCCTAGGCTCAAGCAATTCTCCCACCTCAGCTGCTCAAGTGTCTGGGACTACGGGCATGTGCTACCATGTCCCACTAACTTATTGTTTGTAGAGACAGAGTTTTGCCATGTTTCCAGGGCTGGTCTTCAACTCCTGGGCTCAAGCAATCTGACCACCTCAGCCTCCCAAAGTGCTGAGACCACTGGTTGTCAGCCACCAGGCCTGACAAAAAAATTCCTCAAATATTAGCTGGGGATGGTGGTGGTGGTGTACACCTGTGGTCCCGGCTGCTTGGAAAGCTGACGTGGAAGGACCGCTCAAGGCCCAGGAGTTCACGACTGGGGTGACATAGTGAGATTCTGTCTCAAAAAAAAAAAAAAAAAAGGAAGAAAGAAAAATTATCCCAAAACCTAAAATGCGATAAAAAAAAGAAATTTAAAAAAATAAAAGAGAAAGAAAAATTATCTTTGCTACTTTAAAACTTTAAAGTACCCACTCAATAAAATGGTGAAACACTGACTCCGACCACAGGAAAACCACACTACCACTCCCACCTCCTGAGGTGACCAACATCAGCAGCCTGCGGTGTCCCTTCCATATCTTTTTCCTACCCAGGCACTCACAAACACATGCCACACTGCCAAAAGGGACACTCCATCTTGGATGGCAGCCACCTGAGCCAAGCAAGCCGCCCTCTGCGCGAGTCTCATGTGGGAAAGGAAAAGTGGAAACAGAAGTAGAGAGAGCTGTACCAGAGAGAAGGTCAAGGCCACAGAAGCAAGGATGGCCCGAGGGGCCTGGCCGCCAATGCTGTTAGGGCTTCCTGCTCTCCCTTTTACCCCTAGGCACATTTATGTGTCTCCCTCCTCCACCCCGCCCCCGCAACACACACACAGACACACGCCCTCCCGTGAAGAGGAGCACTCAACACACCTGTTCCTCAGAACCTGAAAGAACCCAATACACACACTCGGGAGGCTGGTTCCAGAGCAAGCTGGGATGGAGGGGCACTCAAGGTCCCCCTGCCACCCGCTGCGCCACACCTTTACCTTGAACTCCCCAACAACCTTGCGCAGGGCGCGGTCCAGTTCCTCAGAAGAGACACGAACGTAGGTGAAGTCGATGAAGTCACAGTCGACATCCTGGGTGCCCACGGTGCCAATGGAGTAGGTGCCCTCCTTCTTGTAGTGGAACTTGCCAGTGCTGCGGTGCAGGAGCACCGTGTGCAACACAGCCAGCAAGGCCTCCTCCACCTGCCGACCCTCCACTGACACCTCCAGCACCTCCGAGCGACAGTTCATCCTGCAGCCAGTGACCCACACCAAGGTGGGGAACGAGGACAAAGACAGGGATTTCACCCTACCCAAGGGCCACCCTGCAAGAGAAGTGCAGGTCAGAATGCTGACATCTTCAACAGTCCGCAGCTTATCTGTTCACTTCCTTCTAGGCTCAGCCCGGCTTCTGCCTCCACTGGCCCTTCTCTGCATTTTGGCAGCACAGACTACCAGAGAATCATCAACTCTCGGGATCAGAAAGGGCAAGAGCTTCAAAGTTATCGTCTAAAGGACAGGCCTGGATTCCATTTTACAGCCTTCAATGTAGTTTACAGCAGATGCTCACTGTGCAACATCTGTCAGGCACTAGCCATTCAAAGGCAAGCATGGCCCCTGCCCTCAGGCTGGCAGGATGAAGGAAAAGCAGGCAAGTAAACATTATCACCATGGAGAGAGTCCGAGGTGGGAGTAAGAAGCACAGGAAGACTGGAGTCTGATTTCCTGGGACCTTGAATGACCAGGTTAAGGCATCTGCACTCTGTCTTAAGAGCAGTGAAGAGTCAATGCATCACTGGGCCCAGATCAAATCTGTGCATTAGATAGGTACCTCGGGGCCGGGTGCAGTGGCTCACACCTGTCATCCCAGCAATTTGGGAGGACAAGGCAAATCACTTGAGCTCAAAAGTTCAAGACCAGACTGGGCAACGTGATGACTCCCCATCTCCACCAAAAGTGCAAAAAATTAGCCAGGCCTGGTGGCAAGCGCCTGGAGTCCCACCTACTTGAGGGGCTGAGGCAAGAGAATCACTTGAACCTGGGAGGTTGAGGCTGTAGTGAGCTGAGATCATGCCACTGTGCTCCAGCCTGGGTGACAAAGTGAGACCCTGTCTCAAAAAAAAAAAAAAAAAAAAAAAAAAAAGTAATACAATAAATTTTAAAAAATGAAAAGTACCTCTGGCTAAACGGCAAAGGTTTGTGATCTCTACTGTGTTGAGATCACAAACTGCTCTGAGAAGTCAATGAAGGCATGAAGTCTGGGCTTTAAAACCATGACTGACACACACATACCAAATCTCACCTGGGACAGCCACATCCACAGATTCCAGGGTAAAAACTTGTGGATTTAAGGCACAAAGGCTGGGCAGGAAGTCAGTTAGAGGCCACTACAGTGGACGTAGTTACAGAAGCAGCATAATCAGGTGTGGGGGTTTCATACCCAACAGCCCTGGCTCTAAATCCCACCTCAGCCACATCTTGCTCTGTGACCTTAAGGAAATCCCTCAACCTCTCTGAACTTCTTATTTGTAAACTGGGATAGTAGTGAGAGTTACAGTAACAATGTAAAATACAGTAGAACAGTAGTGAAAAACCATGACTTGAAAGCCAGACAACCTGGACCGGAACTCCACTCTGCCGCTTGCTCCATGCTCGTGACCTGGGCAAGCTGCTTAACAGCTACGTGCCATATATGCAAAGGAGATAATAATGGCTACCTTGAAAGAGTTATCTTGAGGGCTGAATGAGTTAGCATTTGTAAAACACTTAAAGCAGTACCTGACAAGCAGTAAACATCCACTAAGTATTAGCTGCTATAATTCATTATTATATTGTTATTGCCAAGAGATGATGCAAGGCTATACCGCAGTAGTGGAGGCAGTGGGAAGGAGAGAACAGACTTGAGAACCAGAATGTAGAAACTAACTAAATCCACGCCCAGAGGGAGAGGGAACTTCAAGTTCCTTAGCTGAGAGTGTTCAGCTTGCAAACCTCCCTGACAGAGAATTCACCACCTCTCACAACAATCAGTTGAAGTTCTATTCAAAAAAAATTTTTTTTTTTTTTTTTTGAGACGGGGTTTCACTCCATCAGCCAGACTGGAGTACAGTGGCATGATCTCTGCTCACTGCAACTTCTGCCTCCCAGGTTCCTATCCCAGCCTCCGAGCAGCTGGGACCACAGGCGCACACCACCACACCTGGCTAATTTTTTGTATTTTTAGTAGAGACAGGGTTTCGCCATGTTGCCCAAGCTAGTCTCAAACTCCTGAGCTCGAGATCCACCTGCTTGGGCTCCCAAAGTGCTGGGATTACCTCACCCAGTCCAGTTATTCTTTCTGCTGAAGGAATCTGTCTCTTAGCGCTTTAAACCACTGGTTTTAGTTTTGGTACCCAAAGTCACACAAAATAAGTCTCACCTCTTTTCCACAAGTGAGCTTTTATTTAGAGGCAGCTCTTCCACCACCTCCTCACCCTTTCTACAGGCTGAAGGTCCCCAGTCCTCAAAAACATGCCTGTTCCACGTCATTTCTTATCTGCATGGAATCCTGGCATCTCTCCTTTAAGTATATTTCATTCATCTGGTTGACAGATGGTGAAAATAAGAAGTATATTTCAGTGTGTCTCTGTCCCTTTTAAAACCTTTTTTTTTTCTGAGATGGAGTCTCACTGTCACCCAGGCTGGAGTGCAATGACACGATCACAGCTCACTACAACCTCCACCTCCCAGGTTCGAGTGATTCTCCTGCCTCAGCCTCCCAAGTAGCTGGGATTACAGACGCGCATCACTATCCCTGACTTATTTTTGTATTTTTAGTAGAGATGGGGCTTCCCCATGTTGGCAAGGCTGGTCTCGAACTCCTGACCTCAGGTGATCTGCCTGCCTCGGCCTCCTAAAGTGCTTGGATTACAGGCATGAGCCACCGTGCCCGGCCATCTCTGCTCCTTTTAAACTGGTGCTCAGCACAGGATACAGGACAACAGTCTTCGGACTGCCCAGAGATCAGGCCAGCTCTGCCTCTCACCTGGCGATCAGGTATCAAGCACCATCATGTTTTGTTTTTGTCTCTACCACTAGGCAGACAATTCCTATATTGTGTTTATAGCGCAGAGACTATATTCATCACTATAATGGTAATTCCTAGTACCTAGTACAAAACTACTGCTCAATTCATCCCAACCCAGGAATTCCAGGTTCTTTCAGGGGTTGCCGGATTACGCTTGCAACAAGAATGAGAAGGGCAGCTGGGCATGGTGCCTTATGCCTGTAATCCCAACACTTTCGGAGGCCAAGGCAGGCAGATCACAAGGTCAGGAGTTCGAGACCAGCCTAGCCAATATGGTGAAACCCCGTCTTTACTAAAAATACAAAAATTAGCCAGGCACGGTGGTGGCGCCTGTAGTCCCAGCTACTCGGGAGGCTGAAGCAGAAGAATTTGAACCTGAGAGGCAGAGGTTGCAGTGAGCCTAGACTGCACTACTGCACTCCAGCCTGGACAACAGAGCAAGAATCTGTCTCCAAAAAAAAAAAGAGAGAGAGAGAGAGGGAGAGAGAAAGGCTCTCGTGCTCCTTTCGCCCTCTATTTTAACTCCATCCAGCAGTTTCTTCCCTTCTAGAGACTCCTGGCTCTGGTCTGGCTCCCTTTCTTCCACGACTTCTCCCTCTTGTGTCCCCCGCAATCATTCATACAACCCATACAGCTCACTTTTGCCCTAAGCCCGGGCTCCTCCCTCATTCTATGTGCTATTTTAGGATCCACTCCTCCAAGAAGTCTGTCCTAACCAACCCCATTCTCCTTCCCACAGCAGCCACATTTGGTCTGGGAAAACCTTGTCCCCTGCCCCACAGTGAGCTGTAAGCAGCAGGGCCCACCAGATTAGGGTCTGAAAAGTCTCATCCCTCTGGTCCCCCGAGGAGCAGAAACTAACAGCTGCCTTCTCAAGCCTGGCTGGAGGGCAGGGTACGTCCATTCCCACCTGGAGTGTAGAGTCGGGACCACGGATTCCTCAGGCTCGGCTCATGCCCTTCCTCCTCCTCCTCCTCCTCCTCACGCCCAGGTGCGACCTCCGCAAGTATGCGTCAACCTCCCCACGGCGCTGAGCCACAAGAGACAGGCTGAAAGCAAAAAAACAGAAAGCTATTTGGCTTCGTATCAAGAGACTCGGGAGGGACGCAGGAAGGAATGCCCGCCCGGGTCCCGTACCTCTCGCCGCCACTACGCGCGAACCTCCACGGTCCAGGGAACCAGGGAGTACTGAATCCCTCGGGTGTCTCGGGGGCGGCGCCCCGCGCCCAGGCTGGCCAGACTCGGAAGCTGGAAGGAGCGCCCTCGTTCCGCCACCCCGGGGGATGCCCACGCCTGCACAGGAGAGGGGCCAGACAGTTAAAATAGCTCCCACCTCCCCTAATCCCGTCCACGACCCACCTCTCAGAGGCCACCGCTCTCCCAGCAGGCTCCGGACTACCCGGGTCGGAGGCTGAGCCGGGACCGGAAGCCGCACCGCTCCCAGCGCGCCGGGAGGCTCACTTGATCCCGCGGCCCCGGAGAGGGCACGTGCCCAGCTGGCCGGGCCTCCGCACGCATGCAGTCGGCCGCATTGTCCGCATAGTCACAGGAGCATATACAGATAGTCATGCGTTTTTCTCTGATCTGGGGACTACTTTTTCGTGGTTCTTTCTCTGATTCTAAGATTTGATGGTGAGGAAGATCCCCCTAATATGGACGAGTCCATTCAGCCCACCACTGAGAACGCTGTGGTGTTTCAGCCGAGACAACTCACTTCCGCCATAGAGACGGGAGGGAAGGAAGGAGCCCGATGGGCTCTCGGCCGCCTCCCTAGGCCGAGCGGAGTCATCGGCGGCGAGCCCGGTCCGTGAACGCAGCCGCTTGCCCAACTCAGTCCAGACTGAGAGGCCTGGAAGGGGCACCGATCTCCACAAGATGAGGGACGTACCCCTTAGAGAGAGGTCCTAGAGATGAGCCCACACCGCTGTGCTGTAGGGCGTCAAGTGGATGGCAAAACTTGAGCTTGTTCAATGTGCATAACAGACTGGATCCCCGGCCTCCCACCCACATAGATGCTGGAGAAAGGTTCATCTCGAAGTGTTGCCTTTATACAGCAGCACTACTTGGTACTCCACAGTGACCAATCTGGTGACAGTCCTTTGGAGACTTGTAATTCGGCCATTGCTTCTCTGCGTGACCCTTGACATCACTCATCCTTTCTGATGCTCTCTATAAACAGGGGGCTGTTGTGAGGATCACAGGAGATAACTCATATGAAAGATTTTTGTGACCTGTAAAGTGTAATATCAATACAAGTGTACTTTTAGTGTTGTGTAACTTCCTGGAGCGTGTCTGGTTCTCCATGTAGGTTGTAAGCCAGGAGCAGACAGGGGTTAGAGAGCTCTGTTAATGCACGCACCTCCAACAGGAGGCACTCTTAAGATGTTACTTAGGGATTAGGATGCTGTTTTCTGGCCACTGGGGTACCTCACGCCTGTGATCCCAACCCTTCGGGAAGCTGAGGATGGAGGATCACCTGAGGCCAGGAGTTCAAGACCAGCCTGATTATCATAGTGAGACTCTCCCATCTTTGAAATAAAAATTTAAAAATTAGCTGGACGTGTTGGTGTACCCTTGTAGTCCCAGCTACTTCAGAGGCTGAGGTGGAGGATCATTTGAGCCCAGGAGGTTGGGGCTGCAGTGAGCCATAATCACACCACTGCACTCCAGGCTGGATGACAGAGCAAGATCCTCTCTCCAAAAAAAAAAAAAAAAAAAAGCCAGGCGCGGTGGGTCACACCTGTAATCCCAGCACTCCAGCACTTTGAGAGGCCGAGGCAGGAGGATCACGAGGTCAGGAGTTCAAGACCAGACTGGCCAACATGGTGAAACCCCATCTCTACTGAAAAATACAAAAATTAGCTGGACATGGTGGCTCATGCCTGTAATCCCAGCTACTTGGGAAGCTGAGGTAGGAGAATTGCTTGAACCAGGACCCG